CACCTCACTGTCTTTAGAGGCAGGATGGTGGCTAGTGGGTGCTTCTGTTCCTTGCAGTTTGCTGTTTTTTGGTGGGAAGCTTCTCTTCACGTTTCTGTGAATCCCCATGCTTGAATTTTATGAGCATTTCATCTGTGTGCCTTTCTTTCATCTTCTGTTTGCTGTCTTGAATTTCCTTGTATCATTTTCCAGACTTTGCGAAGGTGCACTGAAAGCAGCAAAGAAAGATGTTACAGTTCATTCACCCGTCTTCCTTCTCGTCTCTTAACTATATGTTCCTTCAGTTCTTTTCTTGTTTTAACATATTTTAGCATCTATTTTCATTGCTTTTGGGGCTGCTACGTTTCCTCTCCTTTGCCATACCTACATCTGACCATCCCAGCATGCTGGCACTGCCACCTGCAGACCATTTGTTCATCTGAAAATTAACAGTGTGCTGTGTGGGAGCTTTGCAAAACTAACTCAGTTTGTCTTTAAAGTCTGATTTACAGCTCCAGTGGGCCTGGATGCTTACAAATCTTCAAAGTTACTTGTATGCATGCTGTTAAGTGTGGGATAACTTTGTTTTCTTTTATTCTAGTTCTTGTGTGATTGACAATTCCACTGAATCTATTGGTTTAGATTTTCTTCACAGAAAAATTATGTTAATTACCCATGTGATCTTCATGTAGTGCCTAGGACTGTAAGAGTCTCTTCCTTGATTTAATTTGGTAGCAATATAGTAATGCTAATGGTACTAATTAGGTATTTTTCAATACAAGAACTCATTCTGTGTAGCCCTGCAATTTATTTACTGTCTAGTCTTGAAGAATTGTGTTCTGTTTTAAACTAATGCCGTTGGTATTAGTATGATATATCCTACAGGTGTAGGACGTTCCTATAAAGCTAAGATGATCCATCCTCCAATTGTCCTTCTGGACTATATTTGTCTAAGGAAAGTACTGGTCTTAGTTTGTCTTTCCTCTTCTGTAGGGATCTTTTATTTGTAATATTTGCTTATTTGCTATGTTGAGGTTTTCTTGAAAAGCACATGAAATTGGCAGTAAGCTCTAAATTTTTTTTAAGGCATCCATGCTTCTGGAACTGATTGGGGAAAAAAAGAAATGAAGCTTCAGTTGAAACAATTTGGGGTCTTGTGCGTTTAGATTTTGATAGAGGGCACTGTTTAATGTTGCTGTTAGTTGGTAACCTTGCTCAAAGAAGAGAACTGAACTGGAGAACTGAGGGTGTCCTGTGCATGATTCTGTGTTGCTGTGTTTCTAGTTCTGATCTCTAATCATTCTGTTGTATGTGGTCTTTAATAGCAAGTGGTGTCTTGAAAGGATTTGACCCTCTACTGAACCTTGTGCTTGATGGTACCATTGAATATATGCGAGGTAAGTAATACACAGTCTGTGTAAGTCTGCTTTCCCTTAACAGTACTTGGTAGCTTGGGGATTCATGATCCTTGAAGTCCCTTCCAACCCTGGCCATTCTGTGATCACCCTGTATCCCCAAGAGCAATTGGTTTTAAAAGAAAATTGAAAGTTCTGTGAATGAATGGCCAGAATCTGTACATTGACTTATCTGAGCTCAGAGTTGTAACAGCAGCTAAGCATAAAGGAGGGGGTAAGATAAACCAAGTAAGTTTTACCACGTTTTCTGTGGTACAGCATTGTTATCATAGTACAGTTTGGGTTGGAAGGAGCCTTAGACATCATCCAGCTCTGGCCCCTTGCCTTAGGCAGGGGCACCTCCCTGTAGACCAGGTTGTTCACAACCCCATCCAGCCTGGCCTTAAATGCTTCCGAGGTGGGGGCATCCACAACCTCTCTGGGCAACTTGTGTCTGTCTCACCACCCTCATAGTACAGAATTTCCTCCTAATATCTACCCTCTTCCAGCTTAAAGCCATTTCCCTTTGTTATGCCCTTATAAGTCCTTCCCCTGTAGGGTAGCTTTCCTGTAGGCCCCTTCAGGTACTGGAAGGCCACTCTAAGGTGCCCCTGGAGCCTTAGATTCTCCAGGCTGAAAAGCTCCAGCTCACAGTCTGCCTCTCTAAGGGATGTGCTCCAGCTATCTGATCATCTTCAAGGCCTTTTGTTAGTCTTTGCTTGAGCTCCTATGCAACTTATTTGGTACTCCTGTTCTTTTAAGTTTGAATGAAGTCATTCCCTTCAGATAAGGCAGTTGGTTTTTACTTTCTGGTACTGCTGGAGAGATGACAGTTTTGTGCAAAGTGTGAAGAGTGTTTCAGTAAGAGTTATTATCTTACTGTCCTGTAAACTCTACTGTAAGTACATTCTTTTCATTTCCATGGAACTGAAGCCTTCTGTGGCTGCTTTGAGCTAATAGAGCTGTGATTTTTTGTTTGTTTGTTTGTTTGTTTTCATAAAATCATAGAATATTTGCAGTTGGAAGTGACCCACAAGGACCATCAAAGCCAATTCCTGGTTCCATGCAGCACCACCCAAAATCTACACTCTGTGTCTGAGAGTGTTGTTGAAAGACTACTTGAACAGCTTGGGGCTGTGCCCACTGCCCTGGGCAGCTGTTTCTTGCCCTCTGCAATCCTGATGCTCCTGAACCCTCCTGTCGTTCCCTTGGTCTCTGTTGCTGTCCCCAGAGAGCAGCACTGCCCCTCTGCTCTCTGTGAGAAAATGCAGCTGCCATGAGGATTCCCCTCAGCCTCCTCTGCTGGACTGAATAAACTCAGGGCCCTCAGCCACTCCTCATACATCTTACCTTCCAGACCCTTCACCATCTTTGTAGCCATCCTTTGGATACACTGATAGTTTTATGTCCTTACAACATGCGGTGTCCAAACCTGCATGCAGTAGTCGAGGCGAGGCTGCACAAGTGCAGGGTAAAGTCATAGAGTGATTTAGGTTGCAAGGGACATTTAAGGATCACAGATTTCCAACCCTTCCACTAGATCAAGCTGCCCAAAGCCTCACCCAGTCTGTCTTTGAATACATCCAAGGCTTCTGCAGGCAGTCTGTACCTGTGCCACATTGTATTCACAGTAAAGATTTTTTTTCTTAATAACTGTCTTTTAGCTTAAAATTCATACTACTTGCCCTATCACTACACTCCTTGTCAGAGTTCCTCAGTACCTTTTCTGTATGCCCCCTTTAGGTACTGGAAGGCTGCTATAAGGTCTCCCTGGTGCCCTCTCCAGGCTGAATGGCACAAGTCTCTCCCAGCCTTTCTTTGTTACAGAGGTTCTCGAGACCTCATGTTTCTTTGTGGCCTCCTCTGGTCCTGCTCTAGTGGGTCTGTATCTGTGAATATGTCAGCACTTGAAGGAGCACAGAATTGGTTCTTGCTGGGCTGCTTGTCTGTTCCTATGCACAGCTTCTTCTGGTTTGGTCTAGGAATAGACAACCAAAAGATTTCTGGTTACTGCACTTTGAATTCAGGGTTTTCTGATTTTCACTGACTCCAGAATGTTTGCCCACAATGTCATTTGAAATAGGAATTGGGACTGTTGTTTTTTTTCCCCTCCCACTCTTTTTTGTCACTTGTATCTGTGCTTTTGATTGGAATGAATGAAGGGACCTTTGAATTATTTAAAAAAATTTATGTTCTGCTTTGCATACAAAGTGGAGTACTTTGTCACTCAGTAACAAGTGCTGCTTTGAGAACTAATGAATCAGTAATGTGCTGTAGTTATCAGATATTACTGCTGCATCACTTTTAATAGTCTGTGCTCAATAAAACAGTGCTGAAAAGTCTGGAAAAATTGTGGGTTTTTTCTTTTTTTTTTTCTTCTTTTTTCCAGTTGATGGAATTTATTATATTATCTTCCTTAGGTTTCCATTGTAACTAGAGATCTCTGCTTTTCAGACCCAGATGATCAATACAAATTAACAGAAGACACACGTCAGCTGGGACTTGTGGTCTGCAGAGGGACTTCTGTGGTTCTCATTTGCCCACAGGATGGAATGGAAGCGATTCCCAACCCTTTCATTCAGCAGCAAGATGGATAATGGCTCTGGGCTGTCATTGAAGACTTTTTGGGTGCAAATCATTGGAGGAAACTATCAGTGTGTGAGAAGTTTCATGTTTTTGGAGAGAAGTTTGAATGCATGTTTACTAGTGTGAAAGAGCAGTTGACTTTCATTTTTGTGGCTTTTTGTGAACAGGAAGAGAATGAGATGTAATGTGCAAGGCACAAGTTCTGATTAATTTACTCCCCCCCTCCCCCCAAATAAATGTGAAGCTCTACATTAAGAGCTGAGACGAGAATATTCTGCCTATGAATTGTCAGAAACCCTCCTGGTATTGTGAGTCTTGAAACCACCACATAAAATTAGTACATATTTCTCTGAACGCTGGTCATTTGATCTACATTTTTAAGTACATTAGAATGTATTTGAATTAATCTGAATACATTGGAACTTGTTTTTTTTCCCTCTTAGATGTCATTACTCAGCTGGGGAGCGTTTTGCGTCGTGTTTTAGGCCTCCTCCTGGTGAGTTAATCTCTGTTGCCTCCCTGCTCCAGTACAAGGAAGACAGTTACTTTGATCGCATGGTATCACCTTTACAAGCTGTGTAGCTAAGAAGGTATTTTTTAGCACTTGTTGCAAATCTTTTGGGCTGTCATTGTGAATTGGAAGGCTCTCAATTTTTAAATAAAGACTGGAGTCCCTCGTCAGGTTATTGTCTCAGCTGGGTGATACAAACATGGAAGTGTGTTTGCTAGTGGGAATTGTAGGGGAGGAATTATTAAGATCCTAATGTTCAATGGAAGCAGTGTCTGGAAATACTGCATATTTTTTTTATACTGTAGCTATCTACTTGTGGTTGCACTTGTTATAATTTGATTTGTAAGTAAACTTTTTTTATTTCTTCACAAGTAGCAAGATTTGAGGAGTTGTGAACAAATAAATACAAATTAAACTGTTCCTAAATGTCTGATTGTTAGTCTGATAAAAGTGCTCTACAGCTGCCATTGCAGGTTTGCACACTGTACAAATCTAAAGAGTGTTTGTTCAAGAGATGAGTGAACACAACAAAAACAGAAACAACCAGATCACAAGCTGTGCTCATTTCCCAGGCAGGAAATCAATGAGAAATGACTGACAGTATCTGGTCTTGATTTAATAGCTTTTCCTGGGTCAGTGCTAAAATGGAGGTGAACTTGAAGTTAATTCAAGTATGCGAGACTTTCCTAAGGAGCTGTGCCTCGTGTGGCATATTGTGTGTATAAATACTGTGTGTATGAAGGTGCGCCTCTGGATTATTTTAGGCTCCTGTGGACTCATCCTTTGGATGTTTTCCACAGCTCTGGACATGCAGCTGTCTGTGCAGTCATGCTCCTTCCAACACTTTTTTTCTTTTTCTAATGTTGCGAAACTTAGAATTTAGTTGGAAGGGACCTTCAGAGGTCATCAAGTCCAACTGCCTGAGCTCTTCAGGGCTAACAGAGTTAACTGAGAGCATTACCCCTGTGCCTCCTCAATGCTGACAGGCTTGGGGTGTGAAACTGCTCTCCAGTGTTTGTGCATCCTCATCCTCGTGCTGAAGAAGTTTTTCCTAATATCCTGTCTGAACGTCGCCTGGTGCAGCTTAGTGCCATTCCTGTGTGTCTTGTCACGTGTCATCATTGAGAAGAGGTTGGAACTTCCCCTCCACTTACACAGTGGCACAACTTCAATAGATAAACTCTTATTTAGTGCTTAGGGCAGAATTTTTTCTCTGGTCTCAGTGCAGTCTTGGACAAGGGAACTTGGGAACTTGGCATTGAGAAGGGTGAGAGGCTGCTGGTTGTTGATACCAGTAACACGCCACACCATGTCTGGTGTCAGTTCGGAGTGCAGTGCGTAATGAAGGCCCTTGGAAGCTCTCTTAGGTGGATTCCAGTTTTAGATGCAGAAAGGGCAGAGATCCACCTGGAGCTGTGTGTCATGTATAAATTCTAGAGAGGGATGTGATTCCAGGGTTTCCTACTGGGTTATTTGAACTTCATCACAAGATGCACGACTCCTTCTCTGCAGACATTTGGATAATAATTTCAGAGCAAAGTACATAAAATTAAGAATGTAGAAACCAAGAAATCAATTTTAGGTGTATGTGGGCTCGTATTGAATTCATTCCTAAATACAACTGCATAAAACCAACGTGACAGAAGTGACTTTTCCAGAAATACAATAAGGAGCCTCCAGAGAAAATAAATGCAATTGATCCACATAGCACCATCCTGTTTGCTGGAAGCTGCTGGGAAGTGGGGCTGAGATCTCTTAGGATAGGCTCCTTAGGATTAGAGGCCCTATTTCAAGCTGTGCAAAGCTTTATCAGATATGCAAAAACTTATCAGATTGATCTGAATGCTTTGGAAAATCCACTGTGTGAGGTCAGTGATCTGTTTGTAGTACAGCTACTAAGTGCACTGAGAGTGGCTAGATGCGTGGCTGCTTTCTGGGTTTGGACGGGGGTTATTTCCTTCCCCCTATGTTCTGTTCAAGTTTAAAGCTAAACAATGTGTGCAGCCTGGGGTTTGATGTTAGACAGGCAAAGGATCTAAACTCAGGAACATTTTCCTGAAAGTCTCAACCTTTCCTCAGTGTTTGGTTTGCAGGAAGAAAGGTAATGTGCGTGTTTTTCTCAATGGGGTCAATATTAATCTACAATTTCCTGAAATGATGTTAATGCTCAGAAATGTTTTGGTTGTTCATCTCTCTTCTCCTACTTGGAGAACAGCTCCTCTAATTCACTTCGTTGCCTGGCAAGGGTGGATTCCAGTTAACTCTGCCGATTTGGGGTTATGCGGCTCTCCTGCCGTTGCTTAAAAGCAGCAGGAAAGGCAGAAGACCAAAGCAGGAGCACAGAAAGCACTTTCTATTTTTAGGACAAGATTGGCTTATCTTCATTTATCCCAGCTGGCAGATAGTATTTCCAGCGCCCTCGCATGAGTGAAGGCTGTGTAAGGACTGAGTTAAAATTAACCGCCCGGCCATCAGCCGCCATGGGGTCTGCACAGGAACCAAAAGAGCTGGATTCTCAGGCAGAAGTGGTTGCAGACACAGTTCTTGAGGTCGGAGAGAGACTTTTTCAGGTCAGCCGTAGGGCACTTTCATTACACAGCCGTTACTTTGAAGCGATGTTTTTTGGGGGCACGAGGGAGAGCTCTGAGCACCACATAGTGATCAGAGGGATTGATGCAGCGCCTTTCCAGGCACTTCTTGAGTTCACTCGCACAGCCCAAGTGCTCATAGGTCAAGAAAATGTGACCAGCTTGCTTGAGACAGCTGATTTTTTTCAGTTTGATAGGGTGAAACTGTTGTGTGAGAAATTTCTGGAGAGAGAGTTGCACGTTTCCAACTGCTTGGGCCTGATGGCCTACGCACAGCGTTTTGCCTTTATAGAGCTGCATGCATCTGCCATGAACGTGGCTCTCACCCACTGGGGGGACGTAATGTCTCAGGAGGAATTTAAGGCACTACCCAAAGAAACATTGATGCAGTTCCTCAAAAGCGACGACCTCTTTGTTCCTCGAGAAGATGTGGTGTTCGACAGCATCATGATGTGGATAATGGACGACCCAGCAACAAGGGAGAAAGACTTTTTGGATTTGGTGGCTGAAGTCAGGGTCAGTTTTCTGAGTTTGTCCTTCCTTGACATCTTGGTGAAGCGCAGCAAACGCCCTGGGCAGGCAGATTCCTTCTCCAGGCTGATCAGGAGGTTGGACAGCTGTCCTCCACCCAGCTGGCGAGACGTGACGCTGCATCCTTCCTCCAGTCGGAGCTACGACACCCTGTACGTCCTGGGAGGAAAACGTGACAAGGAACAGCAAGAATTATTTCTATTTCAACCTAAAACTGGGACCTGGCAGGCTTGCTCTCCCTTGCAGCGCAGAAACCTCACCCAGTATGCAGTGGCAGCAGTAGGTAACTCATAGAGCTGGAACTCAAGTGGTGCTGGCAGCTGGGACTGAGCGAGTGCAACGCACTGAGACTTAGGGGCCCAAATGCAGCAAATTCAGCAGCCTCTCCTATGAGACACAGCATACCATTTCTGAGTACACGTGAAGTTTGTTTTCTATTATTATATTCTATAATTATAATAATATAATTTCTATAATATTAATAAAATAAACCTCACTTTTACTCAGAAATGGTCAGAAATGGTTCAAAGAATGGTTTTGTTCTGCATAATGCTGGGAGAGTGCTAGGCAAGGCTGAATGCTTTTCACGTTGCAGAAGCAGTGAAGGTATCAGACTCTTCACGTCAGCTTTATCTGGAGTGAAACGAATGCCTTTAAGCAGCACATCTTTTTGGCTTTGGGCCTTCTTCTCATGGTTGTTTTGCCAGATGGTGATTTATAGTTGCTTTTGAGAAAAATGTACATGTGGTCATCCTTGGAGACTTTGAAGGCAGCTCAAAACCATGGGCCCGCTTACCTGGTGTTGCGAGTCCCATGTCAATTAGGACCCTGCAGGAGTGATCCCCAGAGGCTGTTTCCAACCACTGCTTCTATGGTTCTCCACCAGGGAGACTCGGAAGGAGTGGCTGCATCCCACTGGCTCACGTATCAAAAATTGCCAGCTAATAAAAGAGCAGTAATTTCCTCAGCTGATCTTGCAGCCTGTTGGTACAGTGTAGAAAGAAAAGAACAACTTTCAGCCCTCATGTAACTGATACTTTTCCTTGCTGTCTTTCCAGGAAGCTTCCTTTTCGTGACAGGAGGATATTTCCGAGATGAGTTTGTGTGGTACAGTGTGGATTGGGTGCTGATCTACAACTGTCTGAGCAACAGCTGGCTGGAAGGCCCGGCCATGAAGAAGTCTCGCAACAGCCATTGTGCTGTAGGAGTAGGGCTCTACCTGTATGTGCTCGGAGGGAACACGGATGAAGGGATCATTGCAGAAGTGGAGCGCATGGCCTTGGTGGACTCCGAGTGGGAAAGCATGAGTCCTATGGTTCAGCCTGTGGAGCGGGGAGATGCGGTCAGTGTGGGAAGCAGGATCTACGTGGTCTGTGGCCTGGATGAAAACGGACATGTCTATGATGGGGTGCAAAGGTTGAACACAGAGACAGACAGCTGGGATGTCATCTCATTTTCTCCACTTCCAAGGTAAGAAATAATCCTGTTGGACCTGAGAAGAAGAGAAAGGCTCTGCTGCAGGGGTTAACCTTGGTGAAGGGGCAAACTCCCACCCAGCTGTTTTCTCATTTTCCTTCCTGAGCAGGGATGGGGAAGATGGAGGACATTATGGTCAGTCCATAACAATTCCTCTTTGCTCCTCCTTCTTTCTCACACTTTTTTACTTGCTCCAGTATAGGTGCTTCCCATGGGCTGCAGTCTTACAGGATAACCCAGCTCTAATGTAGGCTTCTCCATGGGCTGTAGATCCTCTTAGGAGAACCAGCTCCACCTCTGGAGTGCTGCTCTCCACTGGCTGTAGGGGACTAACCTGGAGTGTGTTCTCCTCATTCTTCTGATTATGGTGTTCATGGAGCTGATTTGCTCTTTTTTTGCCCATCTCAGCCTTAGTGGTATTTTTGCATTGAACACACAAAGACAGTTTTACTGTGGAGTTTTAATAGGTGCTGCATTTTTTATCTTGTTGGAGTTGGTTGATACCAAGCAGCATCACTCACCAGCCATTTGCTCACTCCTTGCCAGTGGAATGTGAGAGAACAGGAGGAGCGAAAGCAGGAATGCCTGCGGGTTGAGATAAAGGCAGTAGAATAATTGAAAGAAAGAGGAAGAAAAACGAAAATAAGTGATGCAAAGGCAATCACTTCTCATCTCCCACAAGTTGACCGATGCCTGGTGACTCTCCAAGTGACGACTGCCTCCTTGTTTACCTTCTTTGATTGGGTTTCCAGTTACTCTGACTCCCAGTTATACTTAAAGCAGTGTGAAACAGAGTCTCCTGTCAATTTCCCAAAAGTTTGGAGCTAAGCAGAGTTTAGGCTGACATCCAACTCCAAATGGTAGAGTCTCAGTGAGGATTTACTGCAGCCCATTCCTCAGTTTCAGGGCTGATGTGCTTTTTCTTCAGAGGGAGCATATTGCCAGGTAGACATTCCCTGACTCCTTCTTCTAGCTATTGAATTTACATTTCTGTGTAGTCTGTTAAGTGTCTATCTATGATGGCTTTTTTTTTTAATAGAGAAAACTAAAGACTCATTAATTAAGTTCATTAATGAAATTAAGTTCATTAATGAACTAAATTTCGTTAAATTATACATGAATCATAGCTCAATGTTTGGAGAAGCACGAATAAAGAAGTCCTTTTCCATGTTCTGAGTTGTTAAAAGGGGGAAATTCTCTACAACTTTCATGAGACTGACTTTGAGAGCTGGCTTTATCTGTAGCCATTCCAGATGAACTTTGTTGTAACTGGCAGGAAATAGTTCCATATCCACATTGTTATCTCAGGTCTCCAAGACACCTTGTCAGCAGGCTGGGCTCCTTGTGGATACTGGCACTGCTGAAGAACTCGAGCCCAGCAGGACTCGCATACTCTGCTTTACCATTATGAGATCAGAACCTCTTGCTGCTGCCTGTAGTTTCTGTTCCAAATAGTCTGCTCCTAGGTGACTTAAATAGATTGTCTTTCCCTTGAAATGAATTCAAATGGATCAAGGGAGCTGTGCCCCAGACTGGAAAAGCATAAATGTGCTCACATGGACACGTGCACTCAGTCACAGGGCTGCTCTGGAAAAATGAAGATTAAAATAATGACAGTCTAGATAGGACTGAAAATAGTCTAGGCTTCTAATATATCAGTTCCCAGTTATTCAGTTATCTGGGATATACAACAAAATAAAGAATGGAGAAACAGATTTTCGAACCTCCTGAGGTTTAATTACTGAGAAGTGGTTCCTTCTGCACCTGGAAGGGATCATGCTGTGCATCAGTGCGGGCTGGCGCTGAGCTGTCCCTGTAGGACCCACTGCAAAAATGGGGGCTTACAGTGAACGCCAGCTTTGGTGCAATCCAACCATTGCTCTCATCACAGATGGGCAAAGTTGCATTTGGAGTAGTATTGCAAGATATTACAGTGAATGATTGTTGCCCTTTGCACTAATGGTACGGGGTCTAGTTTGGGATTTCCAGTTCAAGAGAAATACAAAGAAACTGGAGAGGAGACTGTGGTGGCTTGTGAGATGGTCAGGATGTGGAGTACAAGTCCTGAGAGAACCCACCAAAGAGCAGGACTGATTTTTGTGGGTGAAGAGGCCATAGCTACAGCAAGGACAGTTACACAGATGGTGACCGTGGTCTTGTTCATAAGCTAAAATGGCATAGGAAGGGGCAATGGCTATAGCTATGGTTTTGGAAGTTGGGCTGGATATTATGTTGGTGTTTCCAAGGAGGGTGAGCGTCCCTGGCACAGACCTTGGGGTGTGAGGGACCCGTGGCACTGGGTGGTTTCAAACTGTGGCTGCACAAAGCCACAGCTGTTCTGACTAGCACTGGTGCCAAGAGGTTGCACTGCAGAAATGCAGAGGTCCACTTCTGTGCTGCTCAGTTCAAACGGGGGTTTTGATACAAGGAGTTAAGTGGCAATGAATATTTCAGGGGACAGATCTTTCTGTTGATTCTCATCAAGGATTTCTCCTCTCTCAGGTACGATCTCTGCATCACATCACTGAATGGTGCTCTGTACACCATAGGAGGGGAAGCTTTTCGATTTGATGTGGAAACAGATGAGTGGACCCATGTGGACGAAGAATGCTTGACCCAGAAATTCTTCATGGGATGCTGCACTGTGAATGGACAAATTTATCTGCTTGGGCAGAGAAAGGGTAACAGTGCCCTCCCCATTGTCGTCCTCTTTGATCCCTATGTTGATATGTGCCAGGTCATAGACAACAAGCTCCCGTGCCCCCTTCCTATTCATGGTTGTGTCTCTGTGCGAAGGTTTGATATGTAGGCCAAGTGATGTCAGACCTGGGATAACCACGAAGGAAAATTCATGTGCCTTACAGCCAATGGGAACTGGGTTGTATCAAATTTGGTTTGTGAAATGCCTTACATTTTGAAAAGAGATCTCTTTCCTTCCTGGCTCTGTCTCTTTTTTTTCTACCTGGTGATTGATATTTAAGAAAAACTGAAAGCTTTGCAATTGCACATGAGTTGGAAATAGCAGTCAGTCTTAAAGGCACATAAACTCCACAAAGGGCTGCTCTGTGCTCCAACTCCTCTGCTTCCCTGTGTACAGTTGGGAGAGACAGGAAAGTCATTGAATCAGATATAAAATTAAAAATTGTAGATGTAAAGCAATAAATGCGTGTCAAGCAAATCGTCAGCAGTACATCTGGGCTCATATTACTGCAGGACAAATTTAAAAGCAAAGCAAAAACACAACTGCAGCAAAGCAAAAACACAAAAGCAAAGCAAAAATACAACTGCAGCCAAGCCGTAAGACGTATCATCAGAAAGTATCATTTTAGCTTCAAATAATCTTCCCATGTTCTGTCAAATGGTTAAAATTACCTTTATTCGAGCCTAGAGAGCCCCACAGAAAGAGGGAGGCTACTCTGGGTTTGTGTGTTTGGGAATGTGATGATAACCACTCACCAATGGGGCACTCAGAATCCCACTTCCCTCTCCTTAGTCCCCTTTGGGTTCATTGCTCTGCAGCCCCAGCACAAAAATGCCCTTTCCATCCCAGTGGCTGAATTGGGGTGCAGGCAGCAGGGACAAGCAAGTACCTTTCATTAAAGGCTCCTTTCTTCAGTGTGGCGCAGCAATGTTGAAATGCTCTTTCATTTTCCCTAACATGTAAAATGTGTCAGATGCCATGGAAGTCTATTCAAAGCCTAGACAGAAAACAGCCTTAAAGACAGCATTTGTAAGTTTATGATTATTCTCTGTAGACTAAATATGAATAGATTTATCTGCCCTCTGAAGCATCCAAGCCTTTGTGTTATTGGTGATGTCAGATCTGTGGCAGGTCTCTGACCAGACTTTCTGATTGATATATGAACTGAGATTGCTGAGACTCAAAAAAACAATGCATCAGTAGAAATCAAGGTAAACCACTCTTTGGTTCAGGTGCATTTCATTCCTACATAGACTTCAAGTCTTATGTTCTTTCACAAATTTGTTACAAAGTGAATGGTTATCCAAAATGGAGAAAACCTGTATAATATTCCAGCAGAATTAATACACTCCTATGGAATGTTCACATTCAGACTAATTTATAATCTCTGGCAGAAAAGCATGCTTTTAGAAGAGTTCCAGTTGCTTTCCACTCAGGAGCATTATCCTAAGGTACATATTCAGTTAAGCAAAACCTTTTAGACACGATCTGTTTCACACCATTCCCACAGCATACACAGCAACCAGCAGCTGGCTGGGCCTTGGCTATGGGAACAGTCCATCCTTGCCCCAAAGCCCGGCCAATTCAGACTACAAAACTGAAAACTTATTTGGAGGTTAAAGCAGGAGCTGCTCCCATGCAACTGTTCTCATCAGGTGGCAAGCAACAGCTGTTGGTGTCTTCCAAAATTACAAGTTGGTTGAATGTTCGACAGTTTCCAGTAAGAGTTTGGCTGACAGATCATTGTTCCCAGATAAGTGACCACAGAATAGTAGTAAAGCAATGCTCCCAACCGAAGAAGTGAAGAAAACATCTCCTAAAGTTACTTACTGCCTGGAAACGACATGATGAAATCTAAGAGGTCTGCTCCAAAAGTAATGCCTCCTGCTTTATGGTGTCAGCCCATGTCAGAGGGACGGCAGTAGGGGCTGAACCTTCCCACCAATATGCCATTACATTTTGCTGCTGTGTAACAGATGGCAGCAGAGGGGAGGTCTGACAGGATGGGTCTGACATGGGAGCACGGATGAAGCAAAGGGACGTCATTGAATTCCTCCATGCAAAACAAATGGCACCCACTGACATCCATTGATGCTTACTGAACAGTTATGGAGACCAGCCGGTGCGGTGTGGTGCATTTCAGCAGTGGGTCAGTGGGTCACCTCCGATGGTGCAGATCTGAGTGCAGCACGCAGCTCCCGTTCATCACTGATGAAAATGCACAGCTAATGGTGGAGACTGTGCTAAGAAATAGCATTTTGTAGCTGACAATTTGCTCTATCAAATAGCGTTACTGTGCTCTTTGTATCTGTTATAGTTTCCGTGGAAGTAAATAGGAAGCATTACTTTCGGAGCAGCCAATATAGATGTCAGATGGTGCTTTGTGTTGTAGCACTGTAGAGGGGTCTATGAGTCAGTCTGGCCTCTTCCCCTGGGTCCTATTCAGCCTCTGTACTTTTAAGACTCTCTGGCTCTCAGTGTTTGATAACGAACTCGCGCTACTCGTTCTTGGTCGCATCCTCTGCTTCGCTCCCATCGCTTTCCTCAGTGTCACTTCTTGCATCTTTTTTTTTCTGTAGGAAAGAAAGATGATTTAAATGAGCTGCAGAACCTCTGCCGTGCTACATCAGATAGTCTTGCTTTCCTTCAGAGCACTGATGAAGTAACTTGAGAGGTGTAATAAAAGTAATAGGTGAGCACAGGTCCTCAATACCAGTGTGGTAATTGTCCCTGTATTTGGAAGGCTGAAACAGTCAAGTGTTTCTGTAACATCTGAATGCACTTTTTGGTGCATTAATAAAACAAGTGTTATTAATATAATGACTACAGAAACTGCTGGATGCGATGAATGGCACAGAGTGGGCTGGCCCTTAAAGGAGCTGAGCCAAATACAAAGAGAGAGCTTAGACCTCACATAGGTAAACTGAAGGTGGAACTTCTCTCTCATTGCTTTGTGAGTACATAATCTAGTTTGGATTTTATATATTGATATATACACTCACAAATGCATGTACCTGTATTTAGGGTCATAGGGTAAGTCATATTGAAAAGGGACATCAGGTGATCGTGTAGTCCAACCTCTTCATCAAAGTGTGCTCAGCTTTGATGTCAAATCAAGCTTCTCAGGAAGAAGGGCACTGCACTGCCTCACAGAATCACTCAGCACCACAGCATTGCAGGGGTTGGAAGGGACTTCAAGACATCATTGGGTCCAACCCCCTGCTAAAGCAGTTCCCTACAATAGGTGACACAGGTAGGCATCCAGATGGGTCTTGAATATCTCCATAGGAGACTCCACCACCTCTATGGGCAGCCTGTTCCTGTGCTGCATCACCCTTACCATAAAGAAGTTCTTTCATATGGGTAGTATGGAACTTCCTATGTTCAAGTTTTAGGCCATTACTCCTTGTCCTGTCACCATGCACCACTGAGAAGAGCCTGGCCTCATCCCTTGCCTCCCACCTCCCTTCAGACATTTATAAACATTTATGAAATCTCCCCTCAGTTTTCTTTTCCCTAGACTGCATAGAGCCATGTTACTCAGCCTTTCCTCATACAGGAGATGCTCCTGGTCCTTTATCATCTCTGTGGCCCTCTGGTGGACTCCTAGGAGATCCCTGTCTGTTTTGACTGGGGAGCCCAGAACTGGACACAGTATTCTGTGCCCTCCTCAGGGCAGAGCAGAGAGGACCACCTCCCTTGCCTTGCTGGCCATACTCAGTGCAGTACATCCCAGTAAGTCATACTCCACTCCCTGAGCAACTTCTGCTGCTGCTTTACTGCCCACATCATGAAGAAGTTTTTCTTCATATGTAGATTGAAATGGGCATTTCAGCTTTTGTCTATTGTTTATTGTTCTCCCATTGTTCATCACTAAGAAGAACCTGGCTCCTCCTTAAAAGCTTCCCTCTAGATGCTGGAAGGCTTTTAGTAGCTTCTCCTAAAGCCTACCAAGCCCATTTCCCTCAGCTCCTCCTCACAGATCGTGTACTTCAGCCCCTCACTGTCTTGGTGGCAGTTTGCTGGATGTCTGTGTATTGTTGTTACTTTCCTGTATTGCACTGGATGACCCAAATCTGGACACAGCAGATGAGGCGTCACGCTATTTGCTGGCTATGCTCCTTGTCACGTAGCCCAGGACTGTCTTGGCTTTCTTTGCCGTCAGAGCCCACACTTGGTTTGTGTCCATCTCCAAAACACAGAGGTCTTTTTCTGCCCCAGAGCCCTATTGTGTTCTGGCAGAGGATTCTTCCTCACCAGGTGGAGGATTTCTGATTTTTCCTTGTTGACCTCCTTGGGGTTCCCAACAGCCAAATACTCCACCTTCCTTGAGCCGCCGCAGTGCCCTTGAACACACTGACTCCACCTCATTTTGCCATCATATGCAAACTAGATGAGAGTGTGCTGTGTTTCATCCTTCAGAGAAACTATTTTTTCTCTTTTTAAAGAGGGTGCAGCTCAGCGTAAGCTGAAGGCATAACACCGGCAAACAAAATACCCAAGAAGGGAACTGCTTCTCTCATCTTCACCATCAAAGGTGCCCATACAACCCTCAGCACGTGAGTTCAGTTCTGAAGCTCTTGGGCTGTTTGGCTGGGCAGTCCCTTTTCTCCCACCCTTTCTTTGCAGGTGTGCAGAACCATGCTGGATCTCGTGGTCATGAAGGAGAAAAAGATTTTTCTTACCGCGCCATACAGGATGACACCAAAGGTCATCCGGAGAATTAGAAAGGACCAGAAAATGTGCAACAACTGCAGGATTATCAGGAAGGTGTTTATCAGGCAGCTTAGGAAGAACATCTCAAATTTTGTCACATAGTAATAGTATGTGCTGTGGGAGAGAGAGAGAAACAAATGAGGAGACAAGACTCCAGCAGGCTTACAAGGATCAAGAATCTTTCTGGACAGATGTTTGTCTCCTGGGTCCCCTGGGCAGAGTTGAGCTGTGCTAAGACTGGGAAATCATGCTTCACTTTGGTGCCTTCTTGCTCTGCCCAAGGAAGGGACTCTACCAGCTCTAGCAAGCACGGCCCAGGTCCCAAAAGACATGCAGTGATTCTTAAAATTGCCAACCATCCCACAGTGTTCAGACAGGCTGCTGGTTGGAAACCTGCAATGCCTTCCAGGAGCAGCAGGCTGTGCTTCTCCCTGTGTTGGAGCTGGAGCTGGGTGTCTGACATCCCAGCATGGGACACAGCCACAGCCTGGGGACGAAGGGCAGTTTGTGACTCAGGGTTAATTTATAGCTAACAACCCTCAGCTTTCCTCCTCGGTTCTAGCTGGATTCATCTTCGAGCTTACCTGGAATGTTCTGTTCGTTAAAACATAACTCACATTATTGGGAAAATGACAAGGCGGGAGCTGATGAACACCACAGCAAAAACTATAAAGACAGCTTCACAGACCCACTTCCATTTCATGTAATGGAGAACCTTGGCCAGCTGTAGAGAGACAAAGAGCCATATATCCCATGTGCCAGGGTGCTCCTTCTCCCATCCCTCTCCTGCAGGTCTGCAGGGATTTCCATGAGCTGACTGGTTATCAGATTAGTTGGTTGATGTCCCAGTTTGCACTCACTCACTTTCCCCCAGGAGAACTAAATCTGATGCTTCCTGGTCCTCCCACCGCACAGGTCACGTGTAGCAATGCACTACTGACAGATGTGAGCATGGAACTGCATTTCTGAGCGAGGGGAACTCACCTCTAGAAGGTAATCAGAGGCGTCATGGACCAGCATGATCATCACCCCAAGCCGAATCAGGTTGGCACAGTAGGATACAAAGATCAGAGTGATGGTGGCAATGTGGTGGATGATCTGTTCCTTGAAGTCCTGTAAGGAGAAGACAGAGTGTCTTGACCTGGCAGCAGCTGTTTGTGGATGGTGCTGCCTTGTTGGATGTGGAAAACACCTCCACAAAGCATCACCCCTTAATGCTCCTTACTTTCCTTCTATGCTGTACATGGGCTCACCCTACCATGTACTGAAGAGCTGTGTGTGATAACAGTAGCTGCCTTTGGCCCGGGGCAGGACCTGCCCAGTAACCACAGTGGAGGCAGTGCCTGGACTCCCCAGCTCTGCCCATGGAGAGGAACCAATGGAGGCGGATGGAGATGCTGCAGGTGGGGAACATGCCTTCCCGTGTGGAAATAGAGAACCCTGCAGCAAGGACAAGCCTATATGTGCAAAGGTAGTCATAGAATTGAGTTGGGAGGGATCATTGAGGTCATCTAGCCAAAACCTCTTGTAGTAAACAGGGCCACCTACAGCTCGGTCAGAGTGCTCAGAGCCCTGTCTCGCATGGGGTAAAAAAGCAGGAACCCTCAGTGCTCTGTGGAGGTCATGAGATGCCCAGCTCCAGCTCTGGCCCATATGGCAGCTTCCTGCTACTTCTGGGAGGCACTGCAGCTTTCCAGCCAGCAGCCTGTCTGCAAACACTGTGGGATGGTTGGCAATTTTAAGTCACTGCAAGTCACTGACCTGCTTGCTAGAGCTGGGTAGAGTCCATTTCTGGAGCAGAGCAAGAAAATGTAATTGTCAAATTAATTGCAAACTGTGCAGCCTACACTGCAGGCCACAGCACTGTGCCTACCCAGTCGTTGCCACTTGGCTGGGCACACAGTCTTTGTGTCAGCCACAGCACTCCCCTGGCCTTGCGGGCAGAAAGGCAAAGCTGCTGTAGAGTGAGGCTCAGGGGAGGGAGGAGGGCTGCAGAACCGAGTGTGCCCTCACTCAGATGCTGCCTCCAGGGCTGGGGATTTTCTGGGCATTCCCAGGAGGCTGAGTGGTGCCAATGCAGTGGTTTGTAGTTGTGCTGCTGCCACTTACCTTCCTCTTCACATCGAAGGGCAGGGTGACGACCAGTGAGCAGTAGAAGGAGAGCTCCAGCAGGTAGAACCAGCCCAGCGTGGGTAGGAGAGGCTGTGACACAAGCAAAAGGCAGCATGACAACCCTTGCTTAGCTTTGGGGGACAGGAAAGGACAAGGCTCTTCCCAGGTAAGCGCATTCATTCAGACTGCATTTGGGGCAGGACTGTCATATCTACGTTCCCCCATCCCCTGTGGCTGAACTGTTTGCTGCTGTGCTGGCTGAGGGCAGGACAAGTCCCTGATCATCACAGAGGAACTGAGAGGAGCCAGGTTCACCCACTGAAATTTCAGTCCCCATTCCTCTTTAAGAATTCAAGGGTTGTCCTGACTGCCTGGTCCCTTTTGTGGCCCCACACGTGGAACTGCTTCCTGCCAGGCTTGTATTGCAGAGAAACTCATAGAGAAGAAGTGGCTGCTCAGGGCAGAGGCAGGACAGCCTCCTGCTGCTCCTCCATACGCACTACCTGCAGAGAGCTGGTCAGGAAGACAGCCAGGTTTTCACTGTGGTTCATGGTGCGAGGGTGAGAGGCAGCGTGCGTGGTTAGAAACAAGAGGTGGACCTAAGGGGAAACTTGGTCCTCATGACCATTTTCAAACAACAGGACAGGTTGCCTGGGGACACTGTGCTGTTTCCATCCCTTAAGGTCTTCAAAACCAGACTGGAGAAAGACCTGCTCTGACAACACAGCTGACAAGAAACCTCCTTCCAACCCGAGTTATCCCACAGACTTGCAGCTCACCTGTTGTGGATATCTCAGCCAGCACACGGTGTGATCCCAAACCCATGGCTTCTGCACAAAGAGAAGGCAGCAGTAAGAGTCCATATCCCTAAGAATGTACATCAAAAGCATGAAAAAGCACTTCAGTAAGCAAATGGTGTCGGAGTGCTTGTGGTAGAGCCAATCTGCCCTGACCTTTGCAAAAGTGAATGGCAGTTGTCAATGGTGAATGTTTCACCAAAAGTGATGATACCCAGCGGGCAGTGGGTGCAGCCAGGATGAAGAAAAGCGTGGTGACACCACAGCCACATTGCCAGGCCCATATCTGGAGAAGGGGGCTGTTCTGCTGGATGTGGTTTGGGAATGGTTCTGTGCCATGTCCCTGAATTTGTCCTTCTTTGACTCTGAAACTGTGGTCCAAAACCATAGTCATGGCCACACATCATCTATGGGTTCCTTGGAGCAGCCCGGAAGCATCAAACTTATTTTCCATGAATGAGGAACACCTGGAAGGTGTCACCACACAGTGTCTCCAAGCTGACATACTTACATCGTATATGAGAGCCACCCCAGAGAAGAATGATGTGAAATAGAATGTGAATCTCCAGCTAAAACAGAAAGAAACAAAGGGGGAATTATAACTCCCTCTGGAGCTTAGATGCCTCCCCAGGCTTTGCCATCACATCCAGCACCCGACTGGAAAGCAGCAAAATGGGTGTAGTTAGGTACAAGGGCTGGAGAGCAGAAACAGCTGGAGAAGGAATAGGTGTGGGCAGATGGATGTGGGATCCCACCCTCCCAGGTGCTCTCCCACCAGCTGAGAAGCCCACAGAGGTTGTTTGGACACATATTTGCAGCAGCTCAGCTCTGTTTGCATGTGCAGCAATATGCTGGTAAGGCAGTGGGGTACCCACAGCTCACCTGGGTTCTACTGTGCCCAAATCCCAGACGTACGCTGCCAGCACTAAGTGGGAATCAGCATCACTCCCGAGGTGCCTCTACCTGCCTCCTTTTGTGATGTGGGAACAGGATTCAAGCACTGAGAAACGTTGTTTTCAGAGAACGAGGAACAGAGGATCTTGTGCCTGATTGGAGCCTCTTTGTACATACAGTTTAAAGCCTCAAGCTGAGATCCCACTTTTCATCTGGACACTCCTCTGTCCTTTCTGATTCCATATATTATTGCAATATGCCTTAGGATAATAAAGGGTGAGAGGGAATGGCCCAAAGTTACACCAGGGAAGATTCAGATTGGATGTTGGGAAAAATTCCTTCTCCAAAATAGTGGTCAGGCACTGGAATGGGCTGCCCAAGGAGTGGGGGGTCACCCTCCCTGGAGGTGTTCAAGGGTCACAGAATCACAGTATCACACAGAATTGTAGGGGTTGGAAGGGACCTCCAGAGATCATCGAGTCCAACCCCCTGCCAAAGCAGGTTCCCTACAGCAGGTCGCACAGGTCGGCATCCAGGCAGGTCTTGAACATCTCCAGAGCAGGAGACTCCACCACCCCCCTGGGCAGCCTGTTCCAGTGCTCCTCACCTCACTGTAAAGCAGTTCCTTCGCACATTGGTGCGGAACTTCCTATGCTGCAGTTTCCGGCCATTTCCCCTTGTCCTGTCTCCACTCACCACTGAAAAGAGTCCGGCCTCGCCATTCTGCCCCCCACACCTTAGATATTTATAGAACTGGATCAGGTCCACTCTCAGCCTTCTTTTCTCAAGGCTGAACAGACCCAATTCACTCAGCCTTTCCTCATAGCAGAGATGCTCCAGGCCCCTCACCATCTTTGTGGCCCTCCGCTGGACTCTTTCCAAGAGATCCCTGTCTGTTTTGTACTGGGGAGCCCAGAACTGGACCTGGGTCGTGTAGATGCTGTACTGAAGGACATGGTGCAGTGGGAAATATTGCTGGTAGGTGGACAGCTGGACTGGATGATCTTGGAGGTCTTTTCCAACCTTGGTGATTCGATGATTGCAGAATCACAGAATTGCAGGGGTGGAAAAGACCTCAAGAGATCATCGAGTCCAACCCCCTGCTAAAGCAGTTCCCTAAATAGCTTGCACAGGTCAGCCTCCAATTGGTCTTGATTATCTCCATAGAAGGAGACTTGACAGCTTCATATAAGAGTGGAAAGTACAACGTGTGCTGCCATGCAGCTCGCTGGTGGAGGCTCCCATCCCCACGCTGGCCCACCTACCTCGCCTCACAGAACCTCTTCGTAAGCCTGGGACGGTCCTGGGCCCGCCGCTGCCGGAACCAGCTCTGCACTGTTCTGACTGGCAGGCCGCTTTGCTTGGCCACTGAGATCAGGTCCTCCTGCAGAACAGATGGGGAAAGCAGCGCCTCGCCTCCCTGACTTTGTCTCCATGTGGGGGCAGGGGCTGCTTCTGCCCCTCGGGGTCGGTGCTTCCCCAGAGACCGCCTCTCTTTGGGAAAGAACTGCATCTGCTGTGCTTGCACTGCTGACCTCCCGCATCACTTTGGCCGTCCTAAAACTCCATGCAGAAATACGTAAACCCAGGTTTGGAGCTTAGCACCGGCTCTCTCTGTCCAGTTTTTCCAGCAGTGGGACTCAGTGCCTGCTCTGAAAGCCTAACTACAATTTTTTCACCTCTGAAGTGTGTTTGACATATGATTATCAGCTGTGGGTTACAAAGGAAGAGAAAATTAGCTTTGTCTGTGATGTGAAAGAAACATACTAGCTCACTCAGTAACATCAGGGGGAACATCCAATTGCTCGAGCAACAAACAGTCAAAATTAATTTGACAAAACTTCATACAAATTTAAGTCAATCATTACTTTATAGATTCAGGAGTGTTTCACTGTGAGCAATGATCCAAAGGACTCTGCTAAAGATAAGAAGCCTTATCCACAGGATCTGCCCACTGTGGGGGATGGCTGCTTTGCTGGGAAAGCAGACTGCTCCCAGCTATCTGCTCGATCTGACACACACCAGACGGGTGGTGCTGGGGCTGTGGCTGCTGAATGCATTGGTGGTGAAATATCTGCTTCTTCCCCAGAATGGTGGTTGGCAATGGGGCAAGGAGGTGTTGGTTGCCTGGGCTCTCAGCACAGGGGCACTCACCTCCTTTGGGGTCCTGCCCAGCAGCCTGTAGAAGCCTTCCAGTGTGGCACTGGGCTGAGCTTTGGGCCTCTGCTTGTCTCTCACTCCCAGCCTCCTGCCCAGGGGCAGAGCTATGGTTCTACGAGAGGAAAGAGAATTCAGAGCGGAGAGGATGTGATGCCCTTTGCCATCAAAGTAGCGACAACAATAAGGAATATTGGTATCAAGGCCACTTTCTTCTGATATTTTTATCAGCCATCTTGATGAGGAAATTGAGTGCACCCTCAGGAGGTGTGTGGGTGACATCAAGTCAGGTGGGAGTGTTGATCTGCCTGAGGGCAGGGTGGCTCTGCAGAGGGATCTGGATAGGCTGGATCGAAGGGCCATCAGAGAAGGCTCACGTTCCAGCTGAGGGCAGGTTTGCTGAGCACAGCCTTCCCACTCCACAGGTACTGAAGCCCTGCTCTGCCGGGCTAAACAGCTGCATGTCTGCCCAACAATCTGCCCCACTCTCACTGATAATTCCTTGATTTCTCCTCAGTGTCAGACCCTCATTTTGGAACAGGTGCCCAAAGCCCAGTCTGAATCCACATCCTAAACTCAGCCACACGGATCTGCATCGTTCCCATCCAAAAGCCCGGAGATGGCTGTCAGCTCACAGGCTCTGCTTGGAGGGACCATTTCCCTCCATCAAGGTGGAACGCCCATAGCTGAGGCACTGCAGTACCTCAACCCTGCATGAACTGGGGAGCTCTGGTGCCAGAAGGACAGGGAAGGGCAGAGCTGTGGAGGAGGAAGGAGTGGTTTGAACAGGACGGTCCCACAGCAGGCTGTGGGAGCCACGGCTGTCCTCTCCCTCTTCCTCTGTGCTGAGAGTGGGGACTTGCATAGCGTGCTTGGGAGTATCCTCTAAGACCAGGCTGACCCCTGTCTCTGCAGTGGCTTCCAGCCCTGCTGTACCCAGCAAATGCCTTTGTTGTTGTTCTGTGTTGCACGCTCCCAGCTGGTCTCTCTGCAGAGCCCGGTCCCCTCTCTCCAGAGGGACTCTCCACACATGGCTGAGGTGCAGCTGAGTGATGGACTTGTCATTGCTGCCACACAAATGCTTAATGCCACAAAATTCAGAGAGATGCAGTATTTTTGGAGCAAACCCCTGCCAGCTTTATCGTGGTTAGGAGATGGGTAAAGGTAAGTCCAGAGCAACCCTGCACAGACACTGTTGACAACAAGCACAGAAGAAGCTGGATTTGTGGCACCCACCTTTCAAATCCGTATCGGACAACGATCAGGAGCAGAGCACCGGGGATGCAGAGCCAGAGGTCCTGAGGCTTTGGGTAGTGTGTGTCCGCAGACTCCTTCATGTCTTCCCAGGTGGCTCCGGGTGGCAGCCAGTGCTGGTGGTGCCAGAGCTCCTCCAACAGTCCCATCCTGGTCGAGGTGGTGGACAAAGACAGCAGAGGCTCTGGGACTCAGCAGGGAGATGTAAAACTTGCTCTTGAATCAGGACTGCCGGCGCTCCGGGACACCCAGCCCAGCAGCTCGTTGCTCACACTCCGTGCTGCACACTCGATCCCATGAGTATGACTTCCAACACCACTTGTCCTGACCTGCCTGCGAGCTTGGAGGTGGGGTGAGATGTCTTGGTACAAGAAAATAATTCTGTGGGTGTTAAGGAGGTGGATATCTTCAGTTGTACTCCATCACACGGATTACGAGTCCCTTCCTGGTGACAGTGTCAGAAGGGACATCTCTTGCTCCCATTTTCTACCAGCCTTTCTCTTCCCAAGCTGCAAAGCCATTGCCTGTTAGACCACCACCCATTCATTGGGCATCTCTAACAAGTCATAGCTGTGAAAAATCTATTAGTTTCTCACAGAACCTCAGGTGTTTCTTCGGACCTCTGCCCAGGAGTCTTTCTGAACACCTTTGCAAAGCACTACCAGCAGGTTCTCTCCTCTGCATAAACTTGTTGACTCTTTGGGAGAAGTCTGGCAGAGAAAGACATGATTTCCTCACACACAACACATGGGAGCTCTTTCCCACAACGTAATGTTCACACACGTTTCCAGTAACTCATGGTACGTTGTGCCAATCTGCTCGGGCCAGATGTCAGCAGCTCCTCACATTTCCACCTGGGACTTCCACCAGTTTCTGACACCACCATGGTTTGAAACAACAGCGACCCTGCTCAGTTGGTAGCTGAACTCTTTATTGTGTCAGCTCCCTCTTGGCTCTTGGGTGAATACCACCCAGGCTGAAGGTTTGCTGTTATTCCATTGCTGTTTCTTATAGAACCCCTTCATGCCCATCATTTGGTGGGATGCAGCCTCAGCAAGAAGACAGCTGATGTGGACACTGCCTGCTTCCAAGTAGGGAAGCCTTATGCAGGCAGCAACAGGCAGCTCCAGCCTGATCCCTTCTCACCCTTATTATTTTAAGTCTCCTACAGTTTTCCCAGTGTTTTTCAGAGCAGATTACTGCTGCCCTTTGTTCCTCAGTGTATTTCCTGGTATGTCCAGATCAATCTGCCAAGCTTACGAGTCCTTTCCTTGTTTAGACATGACTTCAGCTTTCTGCTGTTTCTTAGGGACGCCCCTGCCTGCAGGCACTGTCTGTTGCACACGTGCAGATGAGAAAAGCAATGTTGTTTGAAGCGCAGTCATCCAGTAAAGGCTCCCTTGGGCATACGTGTCTGAATCAAGAAACACAGTGCATGCACTTCTCCCATGTTTCCAGTGCGTGCTTTAAAAACACGACCCCAAGCAGTGCCCACTGGAGCCAGCAGCTCGGTGCCAGCTGCCAGCCCTGGGGCCCAGCTGTTCCAGTCTCCAGCTCAGCACTGCACAGCTGCCTAAAGACACCAGGAGAGGTTCTTTTTCTCACAGCTCACCTGCAGCTGGACATTCCATCTTCCCTGCAGCTTGATGACACTGCTTGGCGCACACATGGTGCGGTGCACTCCTTTGTTGCACACAGGGCTGATAAGGATCAATTGCAAAGAGATTCTGCTGTTGCACCCGGAGCTCCATTCGCTCTGCTGGGTTATTTTAGCAGATGTGACACGGAGTTTTGCTGCAGGTTTTTACAGCAGCTTCTCAGTTTTGAGGTCTGTGATGCTCCAAGAGGAACTGCGTCCATGGGTGGTGATAAAGGGAGTTGATGCAATGAATTCAGAAATACTAATGCAGCAATCACAAACTTCCTGACACCAGAGCAGACATAGAGCGAATGTGGAGCCATTGTGGGGAGAAAGCAGCACACAGAGCTTCGCTGAGCCATAGCAATTTGATGGCAAGAAAAAATCTGCTGTGTGATGGGCCACAGTGATTCACGGCTGCCATGCTCAGTTACTCAGCTGAAGTGTCCTAATTCAGCCCCCAAGAGCCCTCCCAAATCCTTGATGCATCCTTTCACAGTGATCAGATCAGCCTTACAATGAGCCTGGGCAAGAGCATTCTGCTCCTCAGATGTGTTGTGATTTTACAGCATCAATCCTTGCCGCCCTTCTGAAACCTCACGACAAAGAAGACTCCAGATGCATTTCCCTTCCCACGTCCCCACAGCTCCAAATCACCCACCAGGCTGTGGACTCCCATTGCTCTGTCAGTGTCACGTCACCTGGACTGCCTCTAGATTTAACACAGGGGTGCCCCAAACTGCTTCAGGGCCAAATGAAGCTTCACCAAACAGGACACAAAGGAGGCAGCTGCTGCTCTTTTCTGGCCGGCCTGATACGGCTGAATGCTCTGCAGCATCACCTCCATGCACGCTGAGTGTTCAACAGCCCTGGCAACAGCACCCAGACGTGTCACCAACCAGCCTGGTCACCTCCTGAGAGTCCAAGAAGTAGAAAAGAGCCCAGAGAGCCAAACCGTTCAAAAGTAATTTACAAAGAACTGTTACATTCAGTAGTACAAAACGATACATAACCATTCCTCCTGAGCTCACCGCCTGCAGAGGAGTGGCAAGATTGCACTTGTGGATTACAGAAACATGACCGTATACAGAAATTGTACTCTGAACTCTAAATTACCCCAACATCCAGAGAGAAGCTATCTTCAACAAACATGGATTTAATGATCCGCATGAAATGATGATGCAGGAAGAGATGCTCTGCTCTGAGTATGTCACTGACCTGGAATCACCTGTGCTGGAACCACTTTTACCTCTGAAGTTATCCAATATATTTTGATTGAAACCTAAGAGCAAAGGCTAAAATCAAAGCTTCCCCAGTCATATTTCAGGCGAACTTGGTGAGCTGCTGAAAACCCTCATCCTACTAGATTGTCATTTGCCTCTTAACTTTATAAATGTGCATCACCTCCTAGAATAGGGCATTTCCTTGGTCCGTGTCCATCAGTTAGCACTGGACCTTGCCAGGCACAGACAGGGAAGCGTCTGCATGGCCTGCGCAGACGAAGTCCCTGCTATTGTAACAGCAAATCTGTTAGTAATGTGGTTTCATAGTTTAATAGATCTATAAGGCAGAAATCTGTGCCATACCTATTTAACTCTCCTAAGGCATTACAGAATCAAAAGTCTAAAACTACACAGGATATAAGATACAAAACGTCTAAAGGAATGAATCAGAATTGCATCATGACTTCACCGCCTACTGCTTTAAACTCCCAGCACATCTAGGCAGCGGCCCCAGAATTAGAAGCCTAAATTAAAGCATTGTGCCATGAAGTTCAGCAGATCTTCTCTGATTCTTCTCCCTCTGAGAACAGGGGTGTTCCATTCCCTTCTTACCACAAGCTGACTGCAAATATCTCCCACTGTGCCAATCATCCTACATAAAATCATGAGCACTTGATCGGTGTTGTCTTCTAGAATGTCAATTTCCTTGTCCCCTCTCTTCTCCTGAAATTGTTACTTTCCAAGATGGGATTCATTATCTGACAGCTGAGACACAACTACTTGGATTTTCTAGCCCCTACAACCACGACTGGGGTGGGAACTCTCTTCATTACAGCCTTTGGAGTTCCCCCCCTTTGAGGCAACAGTGCTGACAAGAGAAGGGACTGAGATCCATACGTTACAAAACCAGTCACATGGCACACAGCAGCATTTCCTGTACGAAAATGTTTTCTCCTGTATCTTTCCAAAGCTTTTATACCACTATACACAGTTTCAATGTTATGAGTACATATGGGGCACCTCTGCTCTTGAAGGAGGTGTCCCTGTGTTAAGGTTTAGAGTTTCACACTTCCTGTCCATAGTCATTAGTGGCAGTGGGCTTTGGCTTCCAGAGGCCATTCCAAATAGATTCCTATCAAACAGCATTAGGCAGTTAAGAGGGGACATTGTCCAACATCATCCACTGTTCTGAGTGTTTTTCAAGATCAACATGTTTAACACCTGCTGTGATATTGTCTAGTTCAAGTCAAACCACTTGGATCCCCTTCTATTTGCCTCAAGGCTACAGCCTACAGAAAACTTACGTTGAAGAAAGACCAAAAACTCCCCTCAGATATCACTGACTGTACAGAAGAATGAGTTAAGTTATGCTGGCTGAGTCACAGGCTGAAACTGCTCCTTCAGCCACCTGCCTGCAGCATGCATTTCTGCAGTGTGCTTTTAGCTTTAGCTCACCTTTGCAAACAGTTTGATTTCTGTCCCAATTAAATCTTAACTGTGACCCTGATATTCATTATACAAACAGGTTGAAGCAGCCCCAAATCACAGCTGCCCAGGAGTGAGGACAGCCGTGTCAGAGTGAAGAGATCCACACTGCTGCTTTGGGCATCACTGTGCAGAAGAAGAGAGAGGAAAGGCCGTGCATCAAAATCTTACATTTTCCAAAGGGGACACGAAAATGGGTGCTGCAAGTCCAGCACTCAGAATCACAGGATCACAGCACCGCCTGAGTGGGAAGGGACCCACAGGATCCCTGAGTCCAGCTCTGGCTCCACAGCACCACCAAAACCCAAAACCTTTGGCTGAGAATGGTGTCCCAACGTTCCCTGAACTCCAGCAGCTCAGGGCTGTGAGGCCTTTGGTCTGCAGGGCATGCTGCTGCCTCAGACCCAACTCACTCTTAACCAGAACCCTCAGGTTTTGTTCTGCAGGCTGCTGTCTGGTCTCTGATCTCCCTCCTGTAGCCATGGCCAGGGGCTGCACAACCAGGGGCAGGATTTGGCCCTTGCTCTCCTGGACTTCATGCTGCTGGGGATTGCCTGTGGCTACAGGTAGAGGATGAGAGGCCAGAGATCAGCCTGCACAGAGAACTGGGGCTTCTGGTTGACAGATGTCCTGTAGTGCATGGTTCCCAGCACTGCTGCCAGGTGAAGGAAGGGGCTGTCCTGCTCTGCTCTGCACAGTGTAGCTTCACTTCGAGCCTTGAGTGCAGGTCTGGGCCCCAGAAAGTCAGCAGGGCATCAAACTGTCTGAAAGTGTCCAGAGGAGATCCATATAATGGCCAACCCACATTCCATATCAGAATACTATGTGACTGCTACATAAGGCTAACAGATCAGCATCTAATTGTTGCACAGTATTTAATCATTGCGTATTTTATTGTGAGCATATGTGTAACGTGCAGATCAGTGCCTTTGAAATGTCAGGTGACTTTGATCACCCATTACATTACTGCTGTCGTGAACTGTAAGCCTATCAATGTGCTAAAAGAATGGGTGTCAATCAGTGGTTCTCAATGTTCAGACATTTCCCTCTGCTCTCACTGCCTCTCGCTCGGTCCTGAGCACCACTGCAGATCCTGGCTTTGTCTGCTTTGCACCTTCCCTCAGGTGTCTGCATACACAGAGAGACCCCCGAGCTGGCTGTGGCTTGTAGTGCTGATAGAGCTTCATTGGAGGTCTGATGTGCACAGCAACACTACAGGATGTAACCCTCGCAGCCCTCCTGGAGAACAGTGCTGGGCAGAACAGAATCCAGGCTGAACCTGAGTGGTGGAGAGCCACTCCCAGCCCAGTGGTGCTGTGCGATGCTATGCTGTGTTACGCTATGCCAGGCTGCACTACACCGTGCCAGGTTGTGCAATGCCACAGTGTTATGCTGCACTGTGCTATGCCACTGTGCTATGCCATGCTAAACCATGCTGTGCTCTGCCATGCCAGGCTATGCTATACATGCCAGGCTGTGCTATGCCATGTTGTGCTATGCTGTGCTGTGCCATGCTAAGCCATACCGTGCTATGCTATACCATGCTATGCTGTGCTATGCTGTACCATGCTATGCCGTGCCATGTGCTATGCCATACCAGGCCGTGCTGTGCTGTGCTGCGCCATGCTATGCCATACTGTGCTGTGCTATGCTGTACCACTCTATGCTATGCTGTACCAGGCCAGGCTGTGCCACGATGTGCTATGCTGTGCCGTGCTATGCCATACCGTGCTGTGCTATACTGTGCCATGGTATGCCAAACCATGCTATGCTGTGCAATGCTATGCTGTGCCGTGCCACGCTGTGCACTGCTGCGCTGTACCATGCTGTTATGCTGTGCCGTGCTATGCCACGCTGCGCTATGCTGCTCTACGTCATGCCCCGCTAGGGCTACGCCACGCCCTCTCCGTGCAACGGACCTCTCGCGAGAAGCGTGGCATCGCCGCGAGCAGGAGAACGGCGCAGGAAAATGACGTAAAAGATGACGCAGCTGACGCAGAGCGCCCTCGCGTGCTCCTCCCCCCCTCCCCACCTCCCGGCGTTCCTCGCGCCCGGCGGCGGGGCGGACTCTCCTCACACAAAGGCGCAGCGTTGGGAAAATGGCGGCAGCGGCGGCTGTAACGGCGGCCACCGAAAGCGCCGGGGGTAAAATGGAGGAACCGCCGGCGGCGGCGGCCCCGCCACCTCCCAACGGGGCGGGCGGCGCCGGGGACGCGCCCGCCAAGAGGTAAGGGTGCTGCTGAGAGCCGCCGGCCCGGCTGGGCCCAACGCGCCCCACGCGGCCTTCCCGCGCCTCGGGCCTGGAGCTGCTTGTAGCGGTGCCATGGGTGGGGGGAGGTGATTAGATGTAGGGAAGGTGTCGGAAAGGGAAAAACGATAAGAATCCGGCGGTTACGGTGAGAGGTCTGTGAGCGTGGTGGTGATAGGCAGGAAGAGCTGCAGCTGCGCAGCGCTTTCGTGTGGGGACGCTGACAGAACGCCGAGAGGTTTCACGGGGAGCGGAGCTTTGTTTTCCTGATTGTGAATTTGAGGAATACGGACTGCAGGCTGTTGTGGCTTTTATTTCTTTCTTTTTTTTTTCTTTTTTTTTCTTCCCCTGTTAGTTTTTGTCCCCAGGCCTTAAGTGCTACGTAGATTAGAACACTGCCGATGTTTTGTGAGCGATCCTGGCAGGGAGGTCAGCTGTAAGTGGATTTCCTGAGGTTCTGCACAGCTCACGTTTCCAGCTGCTGAGTGCTGTTAGGTGCCACGCTGTGCTGTGTGGATCCGCAGTGTGAGAGGTGTCTTGAAACCACAACAGCCCGCAGCTGCAGTAAGGCAGTCAGCTGGGGCTGCGGGAGGCCCTTCAGCTCCTTATCCCTGAGCGCTGGGCATTCGATCCCTCAGGGTGCTCCTGTCTGGGGTCATTTTACACCGCACAGCCTGCAGCCCTGGGTGGTGCAGTTACGGTCGTTTCTCTTTGCTAACGCTTTGGTAGTTCTGAGGTACTTGGTGCTGTAATGCAAGGGAAATCAAAGTAAATAAAGTGTATTCTGAAAGCTGCTTAAATGTGTTACTTTCTGTGGATCTTGTCTGTGCCCTGGGGGTGTTATTTTTCTGTATACCTTCTGTTATCTTTGTAAACAGATCACAGTTATTCAGAGTAGTTCCCTGTTGGGATGGGTGAAGCTGCTGTGGAAGTTTCACTTCAGTCGCCTCTTAATGACGCACACAGAAATGATGTATTTTTAGGTGATGTGGGGAATTCGCTTCTTCCTGCTGTCAGGAAGTCCTGAATAATCAGTTGTGTTTGTGTTTGGCAACTGCAGTGACCTCTGTGGCCCTGCACCTCGCTGTCATGCTTTTACAGTAATTGCTTTTTAGGTGTTGGGGATCGCTGCGGTGGTTTATCTGAAGTCCTGCAAATGAAAAACTTTGTAGCTGAAACAGTTTCTTTTCACCTGGCTGGATTTTGTTACATTGAATGTTTGCAGGAATAATTCCTAGCTTTATATTTGCCTTTAATGGCAGGTAGTGCTGCTTGCCTGAATTATTTATAGAGATAAGTGACAGCTTGATATGTTTATAATATAGTCTGAGAGCTTTAAATGCAAAGCTGGAAAATGTTTTTGCATGACTCTGTGAGCTTGAAGCAGGTTTCACAGCAGTTCTACCCGTGTCTCACAGTTCCAAGGTTGAGGAACAGCTGTGCATTGGGTGTAGCTTCTAGCAGGTGTGCTCAACTCTGTGTTATTTCTTCAGTCAAACAGAAGTTAAGGAGTTCTGAGGATTCTCCTGACCTGTTCTGGAGTTTTTCATCACTTCATCATTTTTCATCAAGTGGGAAAGTCTAAAACTTCATTTTCCGATTAAATACTGTAGATAACTAATGAAAGTGTTTCGTTATAAATCTTCCTTCCAGCATATTACTTGTCGTGCAGAACCTATGTCTCCTTTGCTGTGCAAGTGGAGCACAACAGCCATACTTAAGGACAAGTCCTGTAGCTGTTATGTCTGTGCCTGTTAAGTACAACACTTCTGTGTGTTTGATTTTAACATGTGCTTGTGACTGGAGAAGTACAGGTTGTCACACAGTGGAAATGAGTAACTTGTTCCAATAGAACACTTCATAGACAACTGCATACGTCCCACCCTGCAGGCTGTTGTGTCTGCTTGGTGATTTGAAATGGTTCTAGAGGAGTGAAAAGTGTTAATGCTGAAGTATGTTCACATCAGAAATCAAATTTCTTACCCAAGTACAAGTTTCTGGCATGGCTTGGACTGCATAGGCTCTGTAAAAGCTCATTGTATACACAAATTAAATAAGGTGATGTTCTAAGACTTGTGTTCTCTTGGATTCCTTCTAAAGCTGTGTTTTTGCATCTTCTGAACAGCACGCAGTGAGCAGGGAAGTTAATTGACTCATTTAAAAAATTGTGTCAGGCTGAGGCTGAAGTATTTCATTATTTTATTTTTGGACACTTACATTTTACATACTGAGTGCTGTTTTTCAGTAGTGCTGTTCTCCTCTTGGGAGCATTCAGGGTCAGCCTAGATGGGGCTCTGAGCAACCTGGTCTGGTGGGAGGGAGTTGGAACGAGGTGATCTCTGAGGTCTCTTCCAGCCCAAACCATTCTGTGATTAGTGGCACTTAAGTCCTGTTAAGACGTGATGGGCAGCTAGGTTGGTTTAGAAATAGTTTCTTCATGCTCACTTTTGGCCTGTTAGAGCTAGTGTTCTGAGATAGTTATGGAGACTGTTCCAGGTGTTTGTTGAAAGGCTTGGCAGCTTTGGATTTGCATTGTCCAAAAACTATATTTGAGGGAGAGTAAGAAGTGTTGTCACTGAAGGAGAGCTTCGATGCAGCATCCCTTGGCTGAAATTCTTACAGTGCAAGAATATAAATATGGTGTATGAACACATTATTTGTCTAAAGGATGTTGAAAAATTATAGGTTAAGGAAAAAGTAGTGGATATCTGGTCTGGAGCATCACAAGGATGTGCAGTTCTGCCTGCTTGGCATTGGAGAGATTCATCATCTGAAGTCATCAGCAGCTTTAGTTATGCTGCGTAAATAACTGTGGGAGAAGGCAGCGTGTGGTGGTGATAGAAGTTGTCTACTGCTGGGATGTCCTGGTTAGAATGCAGTGTGCAGCACTGACTGTGTGAGCGCCAGTCTCTGCTCTTGTGACCGTGCTGCGGGTGACACAAGTAGATGAAATCTTGAAAGTCTTGGTGGTTGTTCTGTGGAGCGGTGTGACAGGGGCAGAGTGTGACAGGGGCAGAATGTCCGTGTGCTTAATGGTCTCCTTATCTTTCATTGTTTGCAGCGAAGGTGAACGACCGAGTCAGAATGAGAAAAGGAAAGAGAAGAGTGTGAAAAGAGGAGGAAACCGCTTTGAGCCATACGCTAATCCTGCCAAGAGATACAGAGCTTTCATTACAAATATTCCATTTGATGTGAAGTGGCAGTCTCTGAAAGATCTGGTCAAAGAGAAAGGTAAAGTGCAACTAAGTTTGATCAAGTGCTGTCTGTCGTCTGACATGCTGCTAACTTTGTAAACTTAACAGTTGAAGTTCTGGGTGAACTTGTGACATGAGTTTTGGGAAAGGTCTCCTTGAAGGCTTTTTTTTTTTGTGCTGCACAGTGTTCTCTGGCAGCCTTCCAGACGGGGAGATCTTCCATAGGCATCTGGCATATTTATATAGCGTTTCATCAGAGATTACGAAGAGCATTTGTCTTATTGGTGGGGGAAAAAAAAAAAAGGTTTTATCAGGTTTTAGTCTTGACATGCAGTAAAACTTCCTGAAGAATTTTGTCTCTTGGTAATACTTTAGTTATGTAATGCTGATCTAGCAAGTGTGTTCCTACATGTGTGTCTCCAAACTCTAGTGATTTGGGCTTAGAGAGAGATCTGCATTGCCAGTTGACGTCAGTAAAAATGTATTTAAGGGTGACCTGCAAAGGAGAAAAATGAGGTTTATGCTTTGGCATGCACCTCAGCATGGATAGGGCTTTGGAAATCAAGTTTATTGTTTTCCCCATCCCTGGTTCTCTTCAACTTACACCTGTGAACGGGAACCTTCTTAGTGTGCAGGCCTCATCATCTTCATCTCTTCAAGACGATGAAGAAACTGAGTTGATTGCACTCAGGTGGTGATGAGTCTAAATGCATCTTTTTGGCTTACTTGATGTTATTTCTTTAAGTCGATGCCCAGCCTGCAGATTTTGAAGTTGCTTTGGAAATGCAGTGGGTTGGCCAGAAAATACTTGGCTTCCCCATCAATAAAATATCTCAAACCATTCTAGGAGTTATGAATGCAACCATTCCTCTTGTGGGTCACTTCTAAAATACATAGTATAAGCCTAGCAAGTTAGAGAGCAATGTTCACTGTTGTTTGAACTGGGTAAGGGATGACGGTTCATGAGTTGTGGCCTAAAGAATCGGGAAAAACACTTCCAAAAGTGTTTTCCAGTGTCTGTTTTTGGAGGCAAAATGGAGCTGCTGAGTCTGTGCAATGAACTTAAGGACTATAAGCCCTGACAGCTGTCATAGTTAGAGGACGTGAGATGTTGACACTTGAGGTGCAACCAATGGTTTCGTGAAATGTGAAGATTACAGTCTTAAGAGACTGCTTTAACAGGCCCCCATTATGCATGGTCTCTTGCTTTAAACTATGCTTTCACTTTGCTACACGAGATACGTTGGTTAATAGGAGTATCTGTATGTGTAGATGTCTAACTTTAAGTGCTATGTTGAATTCCGTTCCAAGTGTTTTGTGGTTTCTCTCCAGTTCACGTGGATGGAAAAGTCCGATGTGAGATTGTTTCCTGCCTTGCTGTTCAGCTGCTCATTCCAGCAGATACTCCTAGGGGAACGTTGAAACCTCTTCATTCTGTCAGCAGGGTTGATATGCTAAATATTGAGAAGCATTGTTCTTGGTTTTTGGGACTGCTTCTTAAAACATTACAGTTTAGATTTGCTGTGTAGTTGTGATTCATTCTAATTAGTTCCTGACTTCTTCCAAATTGGTGTTTTTGTGCTGTGCTTGAACTTGCTGAATCGGTGCTTCTTGACATAAGGCATAGTAGTTCCAAAACCAGGAATGTAGTTGAGGAAAAATCTAAATGTTAGAATTCTTGGTTTGTGAGTGTAAGAATTACAGGCCAAATGTTCAAGGCTTTGAGAGCATGTGAAATGGATTTGTACACAAAGGGAAACGTAGGGCATTCGTGACTGCTGCATCGCTTGGCAGTCTAAAGATGGAAGCTGTTAGCAGCAATGGTGTAGCAGGGGACTGAAGGGAGGAGTTAACCTCCATCAGCTGTTTTGTGTCAGTAAGTATGGGTTAGGATATGAGCTTTGGAGGTCTGATATTTCCATGATCTGGTTCTTTCAGATGCGCACATCTGAAATCTTCTAAAGGTGACATTTCTCTCAAGAGTAACGCCTTAGTTCAGTCACTTTAGTTCAGTCACTTCAGTGTATTCGTTGGTGAAACTCAATTACAGGTATGCAGTATTACAAAGTTGTTAACAAAACTAACGAGTGTTCTTGTTTGCAACTCCCTTGTACTGGCTGACGCAGTGTTCTATCAGCACTGGTTGCTGGCAATTGGTAGATGGCTTCAGAAGAATGAGGGGGCAGTTCTTCAGAGTGTAAGTGGAATCTGAAAGTAAATGTGATCAAATACTTCATATGGGTCTTACTCTGTCCCTCCTCAAATGTCTCTGTCTTGGGGAACAAAATAGTAATACTTCATGACATCTGGTATACATTCTGCAGTACTACATGGTTACAGCAAGTAATTGAATTTGGGACATTTATGGATACCTTTAGTACAGAATTTTGTATTTCAAACCTCTTCTTGTCGAGAGTAGCAGGATGGCAGATGGTACAGGAGGAATGTTAACTATAAAGCTAGTTACATTCTGCTGTGGCAAAGCAGTCAAGGCTGTGCTCACACCACAGGTAGGGGTCTCGGGAAGCCCTAGGGACTGCTTGTATTAGAATGGTTGTAACCACTTACGAAGCCAGATGTGTAGTGTCCTGCAGGCATGTGTCTCTCCTGCTATCAGAACCTAGGTGTAAGAATAGATTTGAGGAGAGAAAACAATGCTTTTTGCAGATTAAACTTTATATGAAGAAAAGCAACTGCTAAACTACACGTGCAGTCTTTTCTCTTGCTCCATCTCCTGAAGTTGTTAGAATCTTTGTGGCATCTTAAAGATACAGCTGAAGCCCTCTTGTTACTGTAGTTGACCCCAGGTACTGCACAGCATTTTCATCAGTTTGAGAGCAGCAGCTGTTCATGCCTTCAAGGCAGATATTCCTGGAGGACTACATGGGCTTCAGAGCCAGAGAAGATTCACGGTGTGCTCTCAGACTGAAGTTTTTGATGGGTGAAGAGAAAAGGATGTGTTAGTTTATCTGTCATTTCCCTCCCCTTGCTTTCTGTTGGTGTGCTGACAAGTTCTCAACAGCATCTTGTCACAAAAGGATTTCTTCTCCTATCTCAACTTACTTAAAAATGGTTCTTCTGCAGGCCTCTCAACCTCCTTCCTTCCTGAACTGCTTCTATCATTCTTCAACATCAGGTTCCACAACAACCTCTGTACTATTTTTGATACTGAATCTGCAACTGCAGACAATGCTTCAGTGCTCTTCTTTCTGCGTGAGGAAGTAGAATTTCAGTGAATGCCAGTAAAATATCTTGCATGAGAATCATGCTGTCATCAGTGTTCCACAGGGAGGTCAGAACTCAGGGCTGTGTGCGGTGCTCCTCAGCAACGACTGAAACACTGATGTGTTACCAACATTGTTTTTCACCTGAAGCTGAAACACAGCATCATACTAGATGCTATGAAGGAAAAATCGACTGTCTCCCAACCAAAACAGTTGTACTTCTGTTAATTGCAGATGTTTCAGCTTAATTCACTTTTTGATCAAAGCAGAAGATGTACTGCAGTAAGTTGCAGTGATTAAAAGGCAAGTAGAGCTGGAGTTTTGTGTGTTTTTTGTCAGTGTTGGAAAGAACTTTCGCAATTCAAGACTTGGAGGTACTTTTCAGACGTGTGAGAATGCTGTCTGAAGTCTTTTTTGTCATGAATTCACGTGCATGGTGACTACATAGAGAGGGCTTTGCCAGTACTAATGGGTTTGCTATGCTCACAGCAAGGCACCTGAGTGTTCTTAGAGAAACAAACTAGCAGCTGAGAGCTGAGGTGATTGCAAGCCTTTAACTTCTCTTTGTTTCCTTTTACATAATGTTTGCCATTCAGGACTTTGTACGGTCTGTAGGTTGTATTTGTAAGCTTTAGAATCTTTTTAAATCCAGCTATACACCAAATATGAGTCAAAGCAGAGCTGTGAGCACTGTTTAAGCCTGATTTCTAAGAGCACTGCTTCAATTAAATGTATTGAAAAACCATTATCAGTGGAATTTGGTACCTTGTCATAGCACTTAAAAGTGCAAACTTATGTTGTTCTGTTGTATTTAAAAAACAAAAACTAAATTTGGCATCTCTGTCTAGATAGTTCAGTTTAATGGAAATTGTGCCATTTTACTAAGAACAGAAGTTGTGCTTGATGCTCTTGAGCTGTCTGCCACCTTGTTCAGGAGGTGGCACAATCAGCTTCCCAGTGAGATGCACAGAGGTTTCAGTTCCACTCTAACGCTGACAATATTTTAAGCAAATATCTTAAATTTCATTAGCATTAAAGCTTTCAGTGTAGATAATTCAATTATGACTTTGAAATGTGAGGGTGGATCTGACTGTTTCTTCCACATTAAGGTTGGGAATGACCACTAAGATCAGGCCATCAAATAAATTGCAGCCATCGAGTTGCTCTATTTCATTGCTCTAACCATCTTTTCAGGGTTGTGGAGTAGAACCAAAACTGCTCAGGCTTTTTTCTTCTGGTCCCTCATGCAAAAGGGAGACTTCCACTCCCCTATGCTAAGAATTATCCATTTCCCCTTTGCTAAAAATACTTCTCACTTTTTAACTAAATCTTTGTACATTATATCCATCAAGTGTTGTCTCTTCCCTGCCCACCGTGAAACTTTCTAACAGTTGCCAGTCATGAGCCTTTAAGCACCATAAATGTCAGGGTAATTAGCAAATCACAAATTGTCTATTATTAAAGGTATCTGGCTTTTGATAGCACAGCCTTCTTTTGAATCGTTTTTTTTTTTTTGACTGTAGTGGAGATAATGGAACTGTTTAATTTGATGTTGTCTTGAGAAGCTCCTTTATTTATTATTTACTTTTGACACTGAGTCAAAGCAACTACTGTTAATAAAGCATTTACCACTTCCTCCTTTTCTGTGCTTCTCTACTTGCTGATACTTGCATCTCTGGGCCTTCCAGAGAATCAGATTGCCCAACTTCATATTCCTCAAATCTGATGTCTGCAGCTGAGCTTTTTCTCCTGGTTGTTTCTCAGATGTGTGAATGCTCTCAGACTACCTTGCTTTAAAGTCTAAATTTTCAGTGCAGATAAAACTGCCCAGATTTCACATTCTCTCCCCAAAGGAGAAATGATAACTGTATGAAGTAGAACTTGGTCATAAATAAGAGTAGAGATTGCTTTAGTTAGTTTTTCTACTCGTTTCAATTTCTGCTGCATCATCTGTATTAGAAGTGCTGAGTTCCTGAACTCTGTCAGATCAGAGCTTTAAGAAGGAAGTCTGTAATGACACTGTGCAGTACGTATTCCTTAATTATATTTCCATTAACAGCTGGTATTTTCTGTAACTTTCTCTCCCCCCGGAGGCTGATCTGGCACTCATAGAATCATGGAATAGATGGAGTTGGAAGGAATCTTCACCACCACCTCTTTCAACCTCTTGTGCCACGAACACCTACCAGCTCAGGCTGCTGGGGCCCCATCCAGCTCCAGCTTCTGGGCATGGCAACACAGCGGGCCTCACCGCTCAGTAAAGAATTCCTTCCTGTTTCCTGACATCTCATCTAAATCTTTCCTCCTCTGGTTTAAAGCTGTTACTCCTTCTCCTATCACTACACACACTGATAAAGAGTCTCCTCATCTTTATTGTAGGCTCCTTTTAAGTACTGTAAGTGATCTTCTCTTGTGTTTAATGGAATTTCTTTGCTTGTGGATGCAGGATATCTTCCCTCACACTGTGTTCCTTTTGCCCTCAGGAGGTTTCAGACAGAGCTGTCTGCTGTTGCTATTTCTCTGTGGCTTGTCTTTGCAAAGTTACAGGCTATCCTTGCCTTCTATCACTGATATATCCTCACTTCCTGATGTTCTGATGTTCCTGTGGTTTGGAATCTACAAAGAAGCCAAGTAAAACATGACCTAGCACAGGTTTCCTTTGCCAGCCTCAAACAAGAAGCCTGGAAGAACTGTTAAGTTAGCATGTTGCTCAGGTGGAAAAACTGAAGAGAGCTGTGTGTGTTTTTTTTTTTTTTTTTTTTTTTTTTCCCCTTCAGTTCTGCAATCTGGAATTGTTTTCTTAAATAGTGTAGTGGCTCAGTATCCGTGTCATTTACCACTCCACACACGTTGTGTTTTGTTTGTGGTTTTTGGCTATTCAGGAAAATTCAAAGGTCCTTCAAGATTTGTGTTTCAGTTTTATTGCAGGCATCTGTAGGGCTTGAATGTGAAGTACTGAGCAGATTGGCAAGATTTTCCAGGTAATGCACAACTGCTGCTGTATCAGACTTCAGGAAAACTTGTTCACAGGTGGCGTTCCTTTTTAAAAAAAACAAAAACAAAAACAACAAAAAAAAACACGTTAAATTATATTTACTTTGTTATGTTCAAGGTGGGCAGACTTCTTTCCGGAAGTGCTGATGTGTGTGAGGAGCTGGAGCTGGCTTTGATAGCAGAGCAGAGAACCCTGGGTCCAGAGGCTCAGCAGTGTTGTTGAGAACTCGGAGTCACAGGCTTGTAACTTGCCATTGCTGTGCTCTGTGAAATGGAGTGCTTTTCTCTTGTAGGCAATCTGGGCATTTGTTGTCTTACTGCATAAGTTGTTGAATCACGTTCTTGATATAAGTTCCATTGGCTGCTGCTGTTGAGATGAATGGCTTCAGGATGTCTTGGTAATGCTGAATGTTTGGGCTGGGCACGTGGCGCCCGTGTCCCAGCAGGGATGGTGCCAGCAGGACTGTGACAGTGCAGTCCCTTCACTCAGTTGCTGTGGAAGCAATCCCATGGGTACGGTGTGACCCTGTGCTGTTCAGATTATAGGGAGGAGATGGTTTTTGTTACGCTTTATTTCAAGAGCTGTCACTGAAGTAATGAATAATACTGTGGATAATTAGTCCATTTTGCCCTGTCCATTTTGAAGGGGTTTGTTTGCCTCTACCAGGCTTGAACCTCATGAAAATATGCTTGACTGACTGCTTTAGTCTGTCAAACTAACTGCTCTTTGGATGGAATGTTGATGTGGATTAATTTGTTTTTAAATTGGAAATGGAAGAAGAAAAATGCAATTTTATCAAGCGTTTCTTTTCTTCCAGCTTCTAGGAAAAAAAAAAAAAGTGGAGCAGTCCATTCCAGTGGTGGTTTGTGTCTGATGAAGGACTGCTCCTGTGGGTGCTGGGGCTGAGCGCTCTCCCTCTGCGAAGGAAACTCTTGAATGTGAGATTCCCTTGCTTGGAGTATGCTATCAGTATTCACATCTGGTTGTGATACTGTTTTCTTTCCACCTTTCAGATTAATGCAACTTGGAGTCCTCTTGTATTTAAAAAGTAGAATGTGCAAAGAAAAAAGTCTTTTAATAAAAGAGTGATTCTGAAAACCTTTGTATGCCACTCACTTCAAGGGCAGCAGCCATGGCAGTAGTTGTGTCCTGGAAGTACATCATATAGTTCTGTGGTCACAGAAACAAAACAAAAGCGACAAAAGGAAAAGGACCAGCATAACAAAAAGCAATCCTAATCTTGTGAGGAATGGTGCAGATACAGTTTTCTGGTTTGTTTTGCATCTTGCTTTAAGCTGTTTTGTCTTGGAGGCAAATATGCAGGCAGCTAATTACTTTTTATCAAGCCTAAAACATGGACTGAAATTTTACAGAGGCTTAACAACAGGCTACATTGCTGGAATGAGGTAGGCAGCGAATGATCTTCTTGTCTGTTGGGTCAGTCTGATCCCTTCTTTGGATTTTTACTGGAGAAAAGTCCTGAGAAAGTGAATGATTGTTTGAGTTCTGGGCTGGGGAGATGAGACTGACGCCATGCACAGAGGAGGAAGATCGTTCTGCAGACTTCCTCATAGATTTGGATTGCCTGAAGTGTCATCAGTGAGCACTGAAGATCAAGTAAATAGATATTGTGGAAATAGCCAGCTTTTCAAGTGGAGGAAAAGCAAGAACAAACTTAATCTTAAGATTTTACTGCATACCTGTAATTGTCCAGTTTTGTGGTTTAGAGAACATGGAGTGTTTCTGGGCTTTCTTTTAAGGCAGAGGCTCCATACACGGTTGATTGTTCTAAATTCCCATTGTTTTCTTGGCTTTTCTCCCTTGGTATATGTGTCGTCTGGAATCTGATTTGTAGTTGGTGAGGTAACATACGTGGAGCTCTTAATGGACGCTGAAGGAAAGTCAAGGGTAAGTGTTTGTGAGAATTTCTTCTGTGGATTTTCTACATGACAAATGTAATTGTATAGAGGCGTGGAATGAAAGGAGGTCAGGGAGGCAGAGAGTGTGTATGCTTATGGCTATAGCACAGGATTGCTTAAAAGCTGTGGGGATGGGGAGGTGGTGGGATGGGAACAGTGTTAGGGTGGTCTTCCACTGTGTTCAGTTGGTGTTGGCTGTTTGCATTGCCCATGGACCCTAGCAGTATGCATAGTGGTATGGAATATTAAAGTAATACTTGTGTTTTGGAAAATGTCACTGTAGTGGTTTGCTGAATTTGTAATGGCAGTGTGTAGAAGCAGGTTCTGTAAAATATTCTTCCTGTGAGAGTAAACATAAGTACCTATGAAGGCAATATGCATTTAAGTTCAGAAATTGACTTAAGTCCTTCAGTCCAGTGAAGATATCTTGCAGGAAGAAACAGTAGGAGCTCATTTAACTGTCCTGAAGGATATGGATTTAGGGTGAGAGAATATGGCCAGGATTTTGCTGTATGGCAGAGAACAGTTGATGTGGAGCGTGTGGTATTTTTCTTGGAGAACATGGACTTAGTTCTGCTTGTTACAACTTCAGAAACAACAGCTTAACCCTTCTAATGCATAAGCAATTATATCTTAATTCAATTCAAGGAATTCAAGTAATGAATTGGGTAACATTACATTCATTTTCTTTCTATTAGAGTTAACTAATGTGAATTGATGTTTTAAAAATGTTGTTTGTTTGTGCTTTTACTTACTTTGTTTTTTCTTCCCTCCTCTCCTTGTTGTTCGTCTGTGAAATGATATCATCAGGGATGCGCGTAAGTTCACTTATGAATTTTTAGCAAGAAATGAGGTAACTCTTAAGATACAAGCGGTGTTCTTAGAAGTCTTGTATCTTCACAGTGTTGTTGAATTCAAGATGGAAGAAAGCATGAAAAAGGCTGCAGAGGTTTTGAACAAGCATAGTCTTGGTGGAAGACCGTTGAAAGTGAAAGAAGTAAGACTCGCATCTGTTCTTTCAGCGCCGTGGAAAAAGGCAGAGGGTTGCTCTGCAGTCCAGCAGTATGGCTTACTCATTTGCAGCTGATGATTTTTGACCAAAAGCGTGACCTTGAAATAGATACTGAATTTTCTTTACCCCTAGCATGTGTTGGTGAACAGTTTGAATGTGATTGCCTAGACTAAACTTGATTTAAAAAATGGTTGCTTCTGATAGTAAGGCAGAACTTGGGCAAAGCAAGCTGTAATGCAGGTATATGTCTTGAAAAAGCAACTTGCATGAGTGTTGTTTGTTCTTGACTGCTTTCCGTTGAATTCTGCATCATGATAAATGTGTTCTGCAAACAGTTCCATAAAATAAGCTGGTTTCTGAAATACTCTGAAGATTTGTTTCCATTCTAGTGGCTTTGCTGTCGTCAACCCCTGTGACACGCTCAACTGTACCATGAGTTAATCCTTATTTATTGACAAGTTTAAACTTCTGTTCCAGCAGCTTAGAACCTGTAGCTACATCAAAGGCCCAATTAAACAAAAATCAAGAGAGACTTCTTCAGTGTTAACAGTGACTCTTGGCCGTAGGGTAAGCAAGTTGTTCTTGGCTAAGCAGGCTTCATGTTCTGCTGTGCCTGTACCGCCCCGAATGGTTGGGGGAAAAAACACCTGAATGAGTGTAAGATGGGAAATGTGTGCAGAAAGTCCACTCTTAGCAGTGTGTGTTCTTAGAAGCACTTGAGGAAAAGAATGCGGTGTGGAAGTGGCAGCACTTCTCAGAATCTAGCTTGTTTAAATGATTTTATGCATTCTGAGGAGCAGTGGTTTGAGTCTTGCTGCAAGCCATCATCTGCTGGTGACCTCTTGCTGCCCTTTCAGGGAAGTGAGAGTAGAAATGGATGATTAGAAAAGTGGTTCTACCTGAAACTTACCAAGCACTGACTTTTCAGAGAGGCTCTTGGGAGAAAAAGATATTGAAGTGGGGCTGTGTGCGATCAGATGTTTTCCTGTTATACACTGTTATATTTAGAACTGAAAGTCACGTTGCCCAGTTGGCATCAGACCTTGGAAAGAAGTAGTTGTGATTTGACCGAGTCTTCATAAAGCGATTGCTGTACTCGAATATTTCTGTTTAAATGGCACCAACAGAGCAGACGTGGTAGCTGAAATGGGTGAAGAAGCATGCTTCAGTTGTAAGGGGTTCAGCACCACTTCTCCAAGCCAGGGATTCTGACTGTGTGAAAGGAGTTAAATTATTGTAGGCAAATGTTAGCATAAGTTTTGCCAACTGTCCAGCACGTACATCTGTGTTGGCTGTTTCATTGCTGGAAAGCATGAAAGCCTTCAAGTGAATGACTGATTGAAGTAGATGTTGCTGAATTAATCAAGAAAGGTGTAATTCCTCCATTCCTCAATTTCACAAATGTGCTGTTGTTTCTTCTTAAAATTCAGATAAAGATATTTTTTTGATTTAAATAACTTTTATTCTTAACACCTCTGTTTCTGACTAATGGAATGAATTTTGATTTTTTTTTTCACTTGCTCACTGAACACGATTTGACATTTCTGATTTAAGCAACATCAGTTTACCACATGTTGTGAAGGTTCTCACTTTCAGTGTGAAGTTACAATAATTTTATTTCCTTGCTAAAAGTCTTTGTCCTGTGCTTTTAAGAATATCCTAAAATGTGAGATCTCACAGTAATATAATGATACACCCCAACTATTCTTTCAATTTGGAAACTTGGGGCGTTGAGGTATAGGAGCTGCCCAAAGGAATCTTTGTGAGATTTTACACAGTGTGTCTTGTCTTGTGAAGTGTAATTGCAAGATTAATGAGTTGTTGTATTGTTTTCAAAATGCCAAAGGTTAATAGCAGTTTCTCTTCTAAAACCTTTGAATTGTCATTTTGTCTTCAGGACAAATGTGGCTGAGGTTTGTTGTGGGTGTTAAATAATAAAAGGTACCTTCAAAATGAAGGGAAACATGTGAGTAACTTGCTAACTTGAAGGGGCCTCATACTTTGGTTTTAAAAAGTAAGATGATAATAAAAATATAGCAATGTGATTCCCCGTAGATCTACAGGGACCTGACAGACCCATATAAAAAGTCTCTTCTTTTGACTTGTGGCCATGCTACTAAGACCCTGTGCATTTATTGGAATCGTGGCAAACTTAATTTGTTGTTTCTGTGTCTTGCAGGATCCTGATGGCGAGCACGCCAGGAGAGCAATGCAGAAGGTCATGGCAGCTGGTGGAATGGGTATTGGCCCAGGCCCTGGTGGCCCTGGAATGATCAATATCCCACCTAGTATACTCAATAATCCCAACATACCCAATGAGATCATTCATGCTTTACAGGCAGGGAGACTTGGAAGCACTGTCTTTGTTGCAAATGTAAGTGTTTGATATGCTCTGTGAAGAGAAAACCTGGGTTCAATCTGGTAAATTAAAGGAAAAGTTGTAGAGTTTCTCTGTTCCAGTAAAAATGAGTAGTAACTCTTGTGACTGATCTTACTTGGAATACCTGCTGAGTGGACAGTGAGCTTTTACTGCTTCCTGTGAATGAAAAATGAGAGCTGGGAAAGCTGTCATGGATGTAGTGTAAAAAAATTTTTTTCCTCATTGTACTTCCCTGATTCTTTAGAGTATGCAGTGTTTTCAAATACTAAAACTAACCACGATCAGCAGAGGAAAATGCAGCTTATTTGATGGAGAGGCAGTGGAGAGACATTGAGCTAGATGGAGGCTAGAGAATGTGAACTCGTGGAAAGTCTGAAGGATCTGGGTTTGTTCAGCTTTAAAGGAAGAAAGCTCAAGGAATAACTGATTGCTGTCTCCAGGTCTCTGATCAAGGGACACAGAAAACAGAACCAAGCTCTTTGTAGGGTATGTGAGTTGGAAGATGGGTGCTTCTATTTACATACTGGGATTTTTTTTTACCTTGAAATTGATGAAATACTGGAGGGCTTGTCTGGAGAGATTGTCAGCCGTGCGCGCTTCATAGTGCTCACAGCTGAGCTGAACGTGGCCCCAAACGACCCGAACTAATTAGAGCTGTTTTCAGCAGTGAGTTAAGAGTAGTGACTTCTGCAAGTCCCTATCCAAACCTGATTATTCCGTGATTCTCTGTCTGAGTAAAGTAAGGTTGCTGTTTCCTACATATTAGGGTGTTGAGTAATGCATGAGGTTCTGGAGTATTCTCTGGCATCCTGTTATTTACATTTCATCCCAGCTATCTGAACACTGCTTATTCTTATTGCAGATACTGAGAAATGAAAGTGAGAAAAGGTATTCTTTTGTTGGAAAGCTTTCTCATGCTTTTAATATCACTTGTCTTCCAGTTGGATTACAAGGTTGGTTGGAAGAAACTGAAAGAAGTCTTCAGCATGGCTGGTGCTGTGGTTCGAGCAGACATTTTAGAAGATAAAGATGGCAAAAGTCGTGGAATTGGCACTGTCACTTTTGAACAAGCCATAGAGGCTGTTCAGGCTATATGTATCCTTAAATAGTAGCAATGGTAAATACTAAGTAGGTTTGCTGCAAAGCAGGATAAAATGTAAATTATGCTACTGTAGTTAAGAATCTTTATTGCAGTAAGTGAAGCCATTACAGTGGGTGGAAAATGTAAGGAAAACTGGGGGGAAAAAAAAAAAAAAAGAAAAATACATCTTGAAAGAACTTTTCTGACTTGCTCAGAATCATTAACAATGGTGGATATATGAATTTGTAGCCCTGTTAGTAAATTCTTGTCTCTAGGTCACAACTGGTAATAAAGTGCAATTTATTAGAAAGGGTTTGTCTTACATTACTGCAATGGAGGTAAGGGAGGAATGTAACAGATCCACCTGCAATGTGACAGGCTTGACCTGGTTTGTTCTGTTGTCACCCATATCCTTACTCTGTCCAAGCTGTGATTTGCTGCATAGCAGTCCACGCACACAAACACACACAAAATATAAAAAGTTAAGCCTTGTCAGGGTAAGCTGAAGCTTAAAATATTAACGTTAGTGAATCCTGTGACATTCGTGTAGTTGCTGATTTGAAAGTCATGGGAAGGTCTGCATGTTTTGTCCTGTTTGAAATAACTAAAGCTTCCAGTGTAATGTTGTAACACTGGTTTTGAGACACGTCTTAAGGGGTGTCTTAAT